AGTATTAGTTACAATGGATATCAAGATAATAAAGGTAGAACTTATTTAACTCCTATACTATCAAAAAAAATTATGTAATATATAACAAAATTTATATTTTATTATTGTAAATCCTATAATTAGATAGGATTATCATAATTAAGGTTTCTCTTATGCAAATCAATAATTACCGTCAAATTTATTGAAGTTATGTAACTATCATAACTCTAACAAAAATCATTAAAGCAGAAAATCGTATAAAGTTCAGAACACTATTAAAAATAATGGTGGAATATACTATACATATTGCTAAAATTTATAGATTCTTGATGCAATTAATGCAATTATTTGATGCAATTAATTGAGTCACTATTAAAACATATAAATAATTGAGTCATGATCAATTATTTTTGAAAATTTTAAGAATTGAGTCAATAGCAAAATAATTTATGTCATATGTATAGGGTATATCCACCTATTAAATTTAATATAAACTTGAGAATCAAATATAGAATCGAAAAGAATCATTAAGATCCTTAGGCAAGAACATCTTCTTAGAAAAAAAACTAATACAGTAATTGATATTTCACAGATCAGATCATAAGATACCAGTTCAACTTCATATGAAGACAGTTAGATTGGTATAAAAATAGTATCTTGTATCATAATTTATTAAACACTTTTCTTATAGAAAGTCAATTCTTATGCTAATATAATTTAAAATTAATTTAACAAATCAAATAAAAAATAATTTAATTTAAAAATAATTAATTAAATTAGAATCAAATTGAATTGAATTGAATCAAACAAATAATTAATTAAATTAAAATTGACTAAAAATAAAATAGAATCAAATAGAATCAAATAATTAATTAATTAGATTAAAATCAAATCAAATCAATTAAACAAATAATTTATTAAATTAGAATTAAATCAAATCAAATAAAAAATATTTGATTTCATAAATAATTAAAATTAGAATTTAATTGAATTGAAAATATTTGTTTCTAAATAGAATTGTAAAAATTCTTAGTTTTTTGTTACTTAAGAAAGTTTATTCAGTTTGTAAGAGAAGGTTATTGAATGTGGGTTTATATTTGTATAGTGTTGCAATCTTTCTGTTTCTATATTTAAACTTGACCAGAACTCAATAGCAGTCTTTCTAAACTCAACCTAATAATTTTTAGGAGTAATTAAAACCTGTCAAGATTTCTTCTGTTGTTAAGTAACTTTTTTCCAGGTTCACTAATCTAATGCTGAAGTAGCTTAGTTGTTTTACTATTTGGAAGAGTATATCGAGTAATGCTTCAATCAAATTGAGCCTTGTATTTAATTTGTTAACTTTTTTTCCTTATTGTGTTTCTTTTCTTTAAGATTGTATTGTGTATTTTCAAAAAAGATTTGCATATCCATCTGTATGTCAACTTGTTTTGTTATTCTGCTTGATGCTTTATGAAGAATTTTATAAGTAGTTTCCTTGCAAAATTCTTGGCTGCTTTGTAAGTTCTTGTATAATGCCCCAGAGCAGTCACCATGTTTGACTTCTGAAGAGGAATATATAGCTTGCTGTTATTTGGTAGAGACTTTTTTTCATTCTTGAAACCTATAATTATAAATTTTCTTTTCTTTTTTGATTGGCTGTTCAAGGGAATGTAAACTGTTTTTGCTTTAGTTTATTTGATTATATTCATTATTCTTATAGGTATTGTGTTCCTTCTAATTTCATAAAGTCTTATAGTAAATTTGTTTCTTTATAATTGGATTTCTTTATAATCTTGATATGGTATGATTTTTGTTATAGCTTTACCTATTGGAATCATCCAGATTTCTTGAAAATTAATTCTAATATTTTCAAAGACTATTATTACTGTTTTGAAGTAGCCTTGTTCTTCTATTTGTATATCTATTTGTACAATCATGCCATAATTTTTGACTGCTTCTTTAGTCCTATATATAAAGAAATTATAAGAAATATTCAAGATTATAACTTTTGTTTCAACATCTTGTGTTTTGAAATTAATTGTGCTTGTTGTATCTGTGACTTTTTTTTTTGTTCTTTTTTTTATGTGGATTGAATATTGCCTTTGGAAAAATTGTTAATTGCTGCTTGTATAGTCTTAATATATTTTCTAATAAGTTGCCATTTGAGCTTTTCAAGTTTAATTACATTAATACTTTTTGTTAGGACCTTTATATCTTTTTGACTTAAGTCCTTAATATATCTTTTTTTGTCTGCTTCTGTATTAAAATAGCTAGTAAACTATTCATTTCCTCTTATATGTTCTATACTGATAAATAGGTTTTCAATTGGAATTGCAAAGATTTTTATAATTAGATCTAGTTGTTCTTTTCTGTTATTTCTAGAAAAGGTTCCTATCAACATATCAATGTCATATAATAATAACTTGTTATTTAGGTTGTAAATGTTGGATTGACTGGATGGTATAGTTGATATTTTGGCTAATTTATCTTTTTTTGAAGATTGTGAAGTGATTATTGATTTGGACACTCATATTGTCAAATTTGTACATTGTTAGCATATTGTTTTCTTTTTTATTGATTCATTTTTTGGTTTTTCTGGCTCTTTTTTCAGATATAAGATCTTTGGGTTTCTGTTTTTCTTATTATTTGTTTTTTCTATACAGCTTATAAGATTGAGCTATAATTTAAAATATACAGTATATCAGTAGTTTCTATTGATAAAGTCCATGTTTATGTAATTGTTTTTAGTTTTGAATAATTGAAAAGTATTTGTCAGATATTTAATTTGCTCTTCTTTGTTCTTTCTAGGTGGGTTTATTATTAGAATGCCTGCTGTAAATGTTTTTTTTTTTTGTGATGAAGTATGGATTGACTGATTGTATAGTTCTGTTTCTTGTTTGGTAACTTAGGCTTTCTCTGATATTATGTGAAGTATTCAGAAGCATTTCCTAATTTTGTAGACTTGTGATATTTAATACGATCATCTCTTGCATTTCTTCTGTATTTGATATAAGAATTTTTTGTATGGCAGGTTCTTTATAGACAGGATTTGATATTTTCATTTCAACTAAGTATGAAGGTGTTTATGTTATGTAGCCTATATCCTGAATTGTTAGGGTTGAAGGATCTTGTTAATTTGAGATTTGTTCTTGATATATCAGATGCATATTGTTTATAAATATAGATGCTGTAAATTCTAAACAGCTATTGTAAGTATTGTATTTACTTGGCCTGAGAATTGAAAAAATAGTAAATCTAATCAATAGATTTTTGATAATATGTTCATCAAGGATAAACATATATTATTAGTTTTTGCTTCAAAAGTCTTTTGCATATTTTGTGAATAATATTAGCTTTGACAATTTGTCTGAAATTGATATTCATTATTTTTGCAGTAATAGTGTCAAGCATAATAGTGTTGAATGAGATTCCCAAGTCGATTTATTCAGTTTTGATTTTGTGAAGGCAGTTGTGAATCATCTTGTAAAACTATGGTTTGTTATCAGTGTAATGGTTATCCTTTAATGTAAGCAGGTGTTCTATAATTTTGACTTGTTTTTGTGTTGTTTTTGTATCCAGTTGAATAAAACTATCATATATATTTGTGCTATAGGATATTTTGTTCAAGGTGTTTGACATATTATTTGTTTGTATGTTTGCTAATAAGCAGTATGTCTTCTTGTAAAAGTGTATTCTGGTATTGTTATATTAATATATATTTACATATATTTCTATTTATATATTGTCATATAGATTGCAATTGACATGTGAATATGTTGACAGATTTGTGTTGTTGTTTTTCTTTGGACATATTTAATTTATATTTTGTTATGTTTATATATATCTTGTTTGTAATATGATTTGTATTGTTATGTTAACATATATTTTATCTATTAATTTGATATATTGTTGTGTTAAAAGTTTAAAGTATATTGTTATATTGTTATGTGTCTTACTTGTTGGTTTGACATGTTAACATTTTATTGTGTTGAGAGTTTAGAATGTATAACCTATATTGATTTGTTTCATATTTATGTTTGTATTACTGTTAATCTTTGGGAGAGATAAGTTGTTTTCAGTTTTTTTAATTTCAAGAAAATTTTGATTATATAACAGCTGTTGTTTATGTTGTGTGTTTGTTTTAATCTGTACTTTTTCTCCTTAATTACAATAAGAGAAAGTCTTGATATTCTTTTGGTTTTGTTCTAGTGATAAGGTTGTTTGGTTTACTGGATATAATGTGACTGAGACAAGATTCTGTTGATATTTAAAAAAATATCTAACCTAGTACATAATTTGCTGACAGCTTGTAAAGTGCAATGTTGATTTTCTCTTTTTATTTAACTATGAATTGTATTTCTTGTTTTTTTTTTTCCCAGTGAGAAAGTACAAATGTAGTTCTATTTTTCCTGAAAAAGAAAGAAAAAGGTGATAGTTAGTGTTTCTTTAAGTTTAAAATATATCTGTTTGTGTCTTTTTTTTTGCTTTAGGAGATGTTGATAAGTTGTTTTCTTTAATTGTTTTGTTTTCTTGAGTGTTTTCCTTGAATGTTTTTTCTTGGTTTTGTATATTACCAAAAAAGAAATTTTTTGGAAATTTTGTGATTTGCAGGAAAAAGTTTTTTTTTTTTAGTAGGTATTTTATAAAATATAATTACATACTTAAATATTTAAAATTATTTATTTAATCTAATTTTTAATATTTAAAAATTTTCAATATACTGTATAATAAAAATATATTACAAAAAATATTCTTTTGTATATAATAATTGATTATCATAATTCCTAATTGTATATAAGAATAGCTATTTCATTTTTCTAACAAATAAACTTCAACTTTATTTTATAATAATTTTATTTTATTTATTTATTCTTTCTATATGATTTTGCTAATAGTTTCCATTTCCTAGTTTAATATATAATCACAAATGTAAATACAAGTATATGAATTCCCAATTTCTATTTTTTTATACATTCTCGGAACTACCAATTATAACGTCTATTTATATAATTAGTATCGTATAATATACACTCTCCTGTTCAACACCAAGTAAAAAATGGCGTACTACCATTCAAAATTTCCAACCTCTCAACAATGACTTTTTTGGTTCTTTTACCCTCCATAAAGTTTTTATCCTTTCTCCCATCAAGATTAAATTTTTCTTTAACACGATTTAATCTATCACTCCACTTTTGCTTACTTGAACCAGAAGCAGCAATGGAAGATGCAGCTGGAGCACTGGTGGATAAAGATGATCTCCTTATAGAACCATCTTCGGACAAACTTCTTCTGGATGTAGCTTGATTTGAATCTGGATTACTAATTTCCATTGATGAATTAATCCTTTTAGATCCAACTCGACCTCTATTAGCAATATCAATCGCACTACTATTTTCACTTTCACTTAGATCGGAATCGCCAGGAATTTCTATTGTATCTATCTCATCCCAAACCATCGCATTTTGTCTTGCACAAAGATCTAGTGGTCCCTGGTTAGGCTGACTGAGAGTTTCAACAATATTCCATCCTTGACCCTTTAACACCGCCATTTGTTTTGTAAACATACCCTCGTCAAAATCATCATCAATAGAGAAAAAACGACCAAGTTCAGATACAGTTTCCTTCCACCATTTAGGATCAGTAAGTAAGGGGAGAAAGTGATTCCTAGTATTAGCTGTGAAAGGTTGGCCTATAAGAGCCTCAGAAAGATAAGACCATCCATAAGGATACGATCTCCATTGATCAGGATGTTTGAAAGGAAAAGCTAGGCCATTATCTATAGCCGCAACGTGAATATGCGGGTATGGAATAGATGATGAAGGTTCAGTATGAATGCTATTCCCTGAATTCTCGGGAACAGATGTTGAGTGCGCCATTTCTTTAGGATCAATATTAAGAGAAGATTTTGATTCTGATGAGGAAGGCGACGCGATGTTTTCTGATGACTGTAGTACCTGTTGATCAGTTGAGGATACTTCCGTTGATAATGCATCTGGCGTTTTCATGACTTTTGCCTTAGGTGGTGTATTAGTGAAACATTGGCGCTCATCTTTCTCGCAATACTTTATCATCCAATTACTAAAACCTCGATCTATGTAAGAATTGGGTATGTTATTCAAAATACCTGATATATATTACGAATACATTTAAGAGAATTAAGATTACCTGTATTTCTCATTAAATAATCCAAAATAACAAGTTTTTCAAACTGTTCTCTAAATTGATGTTGTAGTTCGGCAGTCCAAGAGAATCTCTTTCCTAAGGGATAAGATTCATTCAGATCTTCGTCATCAATCGTGCCGGATCTTCCACACATAAGTGGACTCAAACGACTATTCGATCTTTCACTTGTAGTCACATTGCTGTCTGTTACTCTTTCATTGTCATTATTATTATTATGTTCAGGCCATGGATGCTCCCTCAAGAAAACGTTAGCATCTTTGAAGCCTTCCAAAAATACTTGAAAACTACCAATTTTTTCAGGTAGAGGCTTCGGATTTTTCTTTGATCTTGCTGCACGACGGTCTAAGTAATCATAGTGAAAGGATGGGGAAGATAGCCAGACAACTTCAGTAAGTGGAACGATATTCAAATTTAATCGACGATCGAGAAGAGATGCAGCCGCTTCAGAAATGTATCCAAGGTTTGGAATCAAACTAAAACAAAAACAAAAGGCAATGTAAACTTCTCAGATAAAAGTTTTATATAATAAGATAAATTGAATAAAGTAGAATGAACTACATGTATCAAGACGGCATGAAAAAGAAACAAATTATTAGATTTACCAACTTCTTCCGAAAAAACACGGGAATAAATTACGATGAATCCATTTAGTCCATTTAGGATTCAAGTGTCCGTAAGGCTCCTCGTTTTTCGGCTTGAAAACTCCCACAATTCTCTCTTCCTTATTACGGCAAAAGTAAGATCCTGAAGAACCTTGACTGATTCTAATCGGCTGAGTGCCAGCGGCTATAGCACCTTTAACGGAATCCAATATTGCAAGATATAATTCTGGTGTTAGAGGCGGTTCGTGATTTGCGGTTAATGGAGGAACACTAGGCTTATTATAGCAAATTATAGATATATGAAAAAATCCATTCCGTGCAAATAAAAACACTTATTTTATTATAAATATACCTGCCAATCCTGTAGATTCTGAATAGGTTCGAAAACCGATTTGTAGAGTTCTAATTCTTTGTCATTTCCTTTCACGGTCCCTTTTGATTTTAATTTTTTAGGGAAAATTTGTGACCAGGTGTTACGTGGAACGTCAACAATGTCTTCTGTTATGTCATCGCTACTTCTAGCGTTTTGTTGTTCATTATCAATAGGAGCATTCTCCATCCTGGATCTTGGATTTTGGATTTTTTTGTAGTATTGTCTAGATTCTGATAAAGCACGTTTCTTGTATGGTTTAGCGGTTACGAGATCGATATTATGTTCATAAGGCCAAGCACCGTCAAGTGAGTAAAATTCGTCGTCCTCGAAATCTTCCTGAGTAAGCTTGACGTAGCCTGAAACCGGATAATTTGACCTTATCATTACGAATGTTATTTTCGAATTGGATAAGTATCTGCTTACGAAGACAAAAGAATCGCCGGAGAGTCTGCAATAGAATGCGGTACCTACAAGGATTTTAACTTATTTGCTAATATTGCATAGCAAAATACGTTATTCTTGATTTCCTATGCAGGGTTTCTCCTTTTAGGATGCGTCAATGATTTCTCTCTAAAGAAAGAATTTGACAGAACCCGCCGAGAAAACTTTATTCCACAGAATGTGATTGGCTATTGCAGTGGCTTAACAACTCGGCTTTTAACGGGGTTTCTTAAATCATTTTACAGCAAATGATGTAATATAATCTTTAAAATTTTTTATAATGATTATATCAATCTTTTTTTTATAGTATATAGATTTATTTGAAATTTGAAATTTCCAATATTGATACTTACAGTACATAATATATAATAGTACATAGAAACCTTCCTAAATGCACTCTCTATAAATGCATTTATTATGTTTTCTCTCTTTAAATGCATAGTCAAGCGTGGTTTCAAGCATATAAAACTTTTAATAAAGTTATTTCTATAGATGCATATTCTCTATAAATTGATATTTTTCAAAAAATTTTTTATGATCCAAGAGGTATGCATTTAAAGAGAATTTATTATATCTAATTTTTAATTTAAAAAAATATATAATATATAAATATTTCTAATATATTATAAAACTTTAATATTATTTATTAAAATAACTAAATTTTTTTATATTTAATATTAATAAAAATTTTTTAAATTTTTAATATGTAATTTAAAAAAAAATAATAAAACTTTTTTTTATAATTACATATATTTGTTTATTAAAAACTTTATTATACTTTTTATGATAAATAAGTTTTAATTCAAAAATTCAAAAACTTTTAAGAGTTAATACAATTAATCTTACTATACAAAAAATATTGTAAGCATTAAATACTGAAAATAATATTAAAATTAGAAAATAATATTGAACTGAATAAAGTAATATTGGGACTTTTATATAAAGTAAGTTTTATTTATTTTTTTGGGAGAGGTTTTCTCCAGCAGGTAAATATTATTTTTTTATTTATTATTGTATATCGAATATATATACATTGAGAAAGAAACAATATCTCTTGGATACATATTGTATATAACAAGTTAAATGTTAGCTTGCTTACTTGATCACTATCTAACTAATATTATAAAAAATTTTAAAAGCAATATTAAAATATCAAATAGTAAAGTAGTAACTATGCCTACCTACTTGATAAAATTTTATAAAATCTTTTGATTTTTTAAATATAAAATAAATAAAAAGAAAAAAAATAGTCAAAAACTCTTTCCCACAACACCTCCATCCGTAGAAAATTGCCTTTTTAGGAAGCTTCTTTCTTCCAAGGAACTTTGT